GTGTTTACGCCTTTTCGGAATATTTTCGTCACTTATAAAACTGGTAAAAGCTTCTTCTAGAATATCGAAAACACTGTCAAACGGTCGGCTAACCAGAATTTAAAAAAAAATATATATATCGTCTTTTTCTTACAGTGTATTTATAAAATGAAAACATCATCTAAAAACTCCGAAGTCTGTTCTTACCACGTGGTTGATTTGATACTTTTAAAGATATCTCTGTATTCAACAGCCAACCTATTTGAAATATGCAACTAATTTTTCAGGGTTCTGGGCATTGCACTTCTGTAGCAAAGGGAGAATTTTAAGAGTTACTTATGGCCTTCCATAAGTCAAATCTTTTCATACATTGTATTTGTAAAACTTGGAATTTTAAATACAAGATCTTGGATAAATCATTTTATTAATTCCCAGTTTTAAAGAATATTACTATTGCTTTCGGTTATTATTATTTGATTTGCCCAAATTCCTATCAATTAGGAAATTTTATTCATCTCTCTCTGTCGTTGTTGTTTTAATGCTTCAACATACAAGTATGTAGCCGTAGACCGTCGAGTTTTTTTACTACAGATACACCTACTAATCTTTCAGTTTGAGAGAACGTATTATGCAACGTATTATGCCTATTATTATTCCACTCTCGTATCCCACAACTTTTCAGCAACTCGTCTGGTCTAACAGGTTTAAGATAACGCAAACATTCAGACAGAACTATGATAATAGCAGGAGAGGTATGCAACATGCTCTGTTGCTCACGTGGTGAATTTAAATATTTTTAGGGCAAGTTCACGCCCTGCAGCTTCGTGTGCGTGGCGTTTTGGCCAGAGCTTTCAGCACGTACACAACAAACCTGCACACCATACAAGCCAGCTGTGTTGGTAGGACAGTGCCGTAGGGACCATACGTCCTTCAGTTATTCGCACTTCAGCACTGGTATAGCTTGTCTGATTTCGAAAATCTTTTTCTTTGTCAAAATTCTTTCCCCTGTTATGTGGTTAAGAAAACCCTCGCAAACAACTAAGCAATAGTTAAAGTGAGAAACGTAGAAGGTAGAGAGCAACATGCTTTATATGTTCCTTCAATGAGAACAAAAAACCAAACCTAGGGTTTTGAAAGGTATGGTTTCCTTATTCAAGGGTATTTATTCATTTGCGAAACATTTTTCATTCAGCGTCATTACGCAAGAAATAGAACAATGGAAATAAAAGTATAGAATGTGATCTTTACTTTAGGTTGTTCATCTGCTTTATGGCCCTAGATGTTTTATAATTATGAACTTTTAAAAAAAGGACTTCGTTTATGTATTATCTGTATTACATGTAAAATATTTCGGGAGACCAAAGCTTAAAGGTCGAGAGCTTTAAACATGCGAATCTGACATTAGTTTTATGCTACTATGTTTTACCCAGAAAGACTGAACTCGGTACTTAACTCTGTGTAAACATCAAAAATTATTAATACAATAAAAGGTGTATGTAAACTACAACGCTCAAATTAATACATTTTTGCTTTAACTTAAGTTTTCGGGACGTGATGACTCGTAAACATTCCGTTTGACGAAATATAGATATCTGTAAACAGAACAAAAGACAAACGTGCTGAAAACAGTTTATATGTGGGGGAAAATTAATTTATTTATGTGTCCAAGCGCAAAGCTACACAAGGAGAAACAGGTCGAATCAAAACTGACCTCCCAGGTCGCTCAACGACCTAAAACCCGATGCTGAACATGTGCGAAACTACACAATGGGCTATCTGCGCTGTGCCCACCGCAGAGATCAAGCCGTTAAATGTAGCGTTATAAGACTACAATCTTACCGCTTCAATGGCTGGTTTCTCACACTGTAAGTACTGGTCTTCAGACCACATTTTGTTTTTTATTCAAAGAATGGTAAACTGCTATTAAGTAAAGTATATTTTATACGTTCATAGCAGACGGAGATGGACAGGCACGGTGTACCATATAATAATAGTATAACTTAACAAAAGTCAGCTTCAGTCTCGGGTCAGTATTCATTCTTCTTCTTCTGTATTTGGACTTCAAGCCTGGAAATGATGAAAATCCTGTCCAGGAGTTTTCCTAATGTGCAGTTGATCACAAATTGTGCACCTGTACAAATATTTGTGTGGTTGAAAATTCACCTATATAAGTAAGTTCAATTTGATAAATATTAAAAAAAAAACATATTTAAGATTATATAATTCCATTCCAGAGTTGATAAATAAATGTATTTACTAGAATATTCTTCATTTTTTGGATCATTTGTTACTAGGCCTGTATATATATATATATGAGGTGCAATAAGGCGTTATGTACTTAAAAATGATGGAGTTAAAATATATTTGTGCAGTTGAAAAAAATCATTAGGAAAAACTGATCCTGTCTCGTATAGGTTCGTGGCAGTAAATGGTACCAAAAAACGAGCTGCTTTGACTTCAGGTTCTCTGTATTCTCCAGATTTCTGAATCCAGAATTATAATAGCAAGTTTATTTTAAACTCTGATCTTATTGTTCACTCGCAGGAAAGCTCCAACAAACGTTCTTCTTCTTTCATAAAGAAACCAGCAGACAGATCATTATTTTACACAGCGCGTAAACTCCCAAGTAAAGAGTACACTTTCTTCCTTCAAATCAAAAAGCCACATAACGTAGAATTCTAAACATTTTCACTTAAATATTATACATTATTCCTGCTTATATAGCCGAATTATTAAGGTTTCAAACGTCTCGTTTGCTCCGGGATCTACAAACTCTTCCTTTCGGTAATTATGAAACCTTTACACGAACCGCCTAAAGGGAGCTCACGAACCACAGGTTGTGAATCTCTGATATAGTACATAGATAATATGGAAAACATGCGTTTGGCATTTCTAGAAGGGAGTTATATAAAGTACCAATTTTTTCCGTTTTTATGCTTTACCTTTATTGGGGCTGTGCTTATTAAATAATATTGCTACAAAGGTTGCTATCACTGATGGTGTGTGCAAATACAATTTACACATTTGAACGACCTTTAGAGTTGTAAATCATAGATTCATTTTTTAAGATTTATAATAAAGAACGATAGCTCTTATTTAAAATATAATAATTATTTAACAAAAAGTCTTCCGGCGCGACAGCGGTAAATCTGTGGACTTCCAACGCTAAAATCCGCCGTTCAATTCCCTGCTATAGACACATCAGATACCTCAATGTGGCTTTGTTTTAAAATCAAAGAAACAAACACTATGATAAAGTTCTTGCCAATTCATTAAAAACAAATCAACAATAAATGAAAGCAGAAATAGAACTGCTGGGAATTTTTTTTTATTCCATCTCATGTTGAAAGAAGTTTCAGAAACGATTTGTCTGGGGAAATCCGTATCAACAGAAGTGAAGTATCAACTCCTTACGCCAGTTCTGGTGTGTGTGTGTGTTAGTGTGCCTTTCTTTTATTTGTTGTTATTTTCACCATTTTGTTTCGGAAAAGGGAAATCATAGTTTGTGTACAAAGAATTTTGAGTCATGCATGACTGCGTTACACAAAACCGAAATGTTCGTTTCACTCTACTGCTCAACTAAAAACACAACTTCCCCATTCAGTTTTGGTACCGTGTCGAGCCGGGTCAGCCTTTAAGCCTACAAACCCTGAGTGTTTAGTTGCCAGTTGGAACTTTGCATCTTCTCTTTCTTCGGCACTTCAGACTGTGATTACTGGCACTAAAAACACCCTTAAGGCATTGTAGCATGTTGAAACGGTTAACCCACTTATAAAATATACAGGAAAATCCGTTACTGACTGGCGAGTTGTGGAAAATAACGTTTCTCATATAAGTATTACTTACTTATTTCCGGGTTTTATAAACCGTACATAGTTACAAAATACATTTATAAAATTGTACAATTTTGTATTTTACTGTATTTACCTATATTACTTTTAAGAATACACACACACACACACACACACATATATATATATATATACATATACATTACTTTTATCCCTGGGCCGAATGTTTTAAAAATAATGGTCGATTTTGTGTGTTGTTATAATACTCTCACAGACAGTTGTAGATATGGAGGGGGGGGAATTTTTTAAATTTTACACAATTTTTTTTCACACATTATTAACATGCACGAATTAAATATTAATATTTTAGTTATGAAATATTATTCTTAAACTTTTCTGACAATAAATGTATTGTTATATCTGGTACTTTTTAGGATTCATTGATATTATAATAATGTTTCAAATCTGACGTATTTTTCGTACAGTGCCGTGTGCAGAAATTACTCTCTTAGTATCTTCACAGTGAGAGCTGAACGTCACGGTTTGGCACGTTGCCATGGCTTTACTTGCGGCGCAGAACGATCAATATATTATGACGTCATTCGCGTACAGACAGCTGCGGCATTCTTCATGATAATACTGCGCCAGGATTTCAAACACGCTGCGGCAGTTGACTTAAAACTAAAATTCAAGAAGAAACTTAGAAATAAGCATTATACTTATTTTACTGGAATCATTACGAACGTAATGATATATTTAACTTTTATACATCCTACAACTAACTCGGTACTAACAAGGAGATTACTACTTTGATATCCTTAACTAATTTATGTTTAACGTATCTACGTTCCAAATCTTTTGTTAAAGTACTATAAATACGGTTAGATAACCAGTACAACTTCTATTAACGTACTATTGATTTACGCAGTTTAGAATATGTTTCATTAACTGATGCAAAATTGTGACCAACAAAACTTTGCTGTTTGTTTTCCAATTTCACGGGTAGTGTAATCATCCATCAGTACTTACTTCGCAGTTGTGACAGTTATTATCTTAGTTTTGTTGGGCCTCAATGCACGAGTCCATTCCCTCTTCACCAATGACCACATTCCATTTCTTGTTGTTGTAGTTATGACATCATAGGGCAGTACTGGTATTAAACTTAACAAACCGGAGTGAATCTCACTGCGCATGCGCTAGTTAAACCAAAGCGTCGGTCTTGACTGAGTAAGTTGTGAAGCGATAGGAACCGACACTGGGTGGCGCAAACAGTGTGAGAGCTTGTACTGAAGAGAACTGGACCTAGTTGTACAATCTCCATGGTGAAAATGTCGGCACTATCTCGTGGCCATAGGCAGCAATGCTACCTGTGCGATCTGCCTAGAATGCCATGGGCCATGTTGCATGACTTTTCGGAACCTGTATGCCGAGGCTGTGTCAACTACGAGGGCGCGGATCGTATCGAGCTTGTCATCGAAACAGCCCGCCAAATGAAACGTGCCCATGGCTTCCAGGATAATCGGCAGAATTACAAATCTCAATCGTCGGCAATTACAGGGAGGAACCTTCACGACTCTCTGAATGGGGCTGCAGTGTCTGCCGAGGCGACGGTTTTGCCTTCCCATGCCATCACTGTGACTGCCGCTGCCATCCCGCGGACAGCTGTGGCTGTGGACCGATTTACTGTTCACGACGTCCGATCACGTGCATTGTTGGATTATAGTAACCAGCGCTTACAAGCTCATAGGATAGAAGAAGTCCCCCATGAAGCTACACCAGTTGCCCTCAATAGAAAAAGCCCAAGTTTAGTCGTCCGAACACCTCCTCTGGCAGCATTAACTTTAGCACACACCCCTGCACACGTAGCCCTGTCATCCCCAGCCGGTCGTCAGAACTCCGTATCGGGCAAGAGACCTAGTGACAGAGATGAAGATGAAAATTCTAATCATTCCAGCAGTTCTGAGAGTAGCCACAAACGAATTTTCCAGGATGAACACGTCTCAGTCCGACCACCCTTAACTCGAGGAGATAGTCTTCCAACTGCTGTGATGGGGATGCCTTTCGATGCCAGGTACAAAAAGGATCACCCCATGGTTGGACGAATGTACTCCTTCGAAGGAGCTTCTGTATCAAGCTTGAGGGCTGCCACTGCTATAGCAGGTAAGTATCAATAATCCATTATTGTTTTAAACAATGCTGGAAATCTGTTCGTTTGTTACAAAGTCATCTCTATATTGTTACGTAGATTTATTGCCTTTTGGTTTTTTTTTAACAAATATACGTACGATAAGAAATAGGTTTGTTAGTTAGATTGTAACTTGATATGATAAAAGTTCACGATAGTAACGTGCATGTACTAATGTGCACGTGATATGATGTGTCTAATAAGTTGAAATACGAGCCTCTAAACAACAGATAATATACACGACCCTAACTTGTACGTGTCATAGATAACCTTTATTCTCTTGATGGTGGTACATGCTTCAAACAGTTTTCGTGGTTAAACTAATAAAAGCACATGTAATGTATACAGTAACTCTGTGTGATAGTTTAAATGACAAAAACTGCAATATAGGATGTAAAAAAATTAATTTAACATATTTTAATTTTATTGAGATCCACCATGTTGTAATGTCATAAGAGACAATTCAACTGAATGTTCAGTTGCGTAAATACACAACTTAAAAGACAAGTGAGGGACATAAGTTACGAAGATTAATTATTTAGGAGGAATGTTATTAAGACTATATGCAATAAGAGTTGTGGTGTGTGGCTGAATTGAAGTAATATACAATATCGGCTCTTCAGGTGCAACAGGAGAAATCATAATTATTAATAATACTAGAAACAAACGACCTTATAACACCAAAATGTTGTTTCCATTTAATTAGACACTCAACGTTTCGCTTTACAGTCTTATATATATACCAATATGCACTACAGAAAATAAATTTGGAGAACTCATAATTATTAATACTAGAAACAAACGACCTTATAACACCAAAATGTTGTTTCCATTTAATTAGACACTCAACGTTTCGCTTTACAGTCTTCTATATACCAATATGCACTACAGAAAATAAATTTGGAGAACTCATAATTATTAATACTAGAAACAAACGACCATATAACACCAAAATGTTGTTTCCATTTAGTTAGACACCCAACGTTTCGCTTTACAGTCTTCTATATACCAATATGTACTACAGAAAATAAATTTGGAGAAATCATAACTGTTGATAATACGGCGACCAAACTGGCTTTACATTGCTGAAATATTGATATATTGTATTAAATGAAAAAAAAAAAGTGTAGCCCCTTAAGTTGCGTTTTATTGCAGTGCAGTTTAGTAATTCTACGAACCAAATGTACTTACGTCATTTTTGCACATGTATAAGGTTTTTTCTTACACTTCCTTTTCCCATGGGAGCATTCACTTATAAAATTTCAACTTATTTGTATATCCATACATGATGACAGTTTAACCTGACACTAAGTGCCACATGACTCGTGAATAGCAGTGTTGTGTCTACTCGCGTGATAAACTAAAAAGTGGGAGAAAAGCGAAATATACATGTATATAGCATCCCATGTCGTAGTGGGTCATAAGTGAATAAACGCATATATATTGAATTAACTGAGGAAATGTTGCTGTTGTGCGATGCGCAAACCTTGTCAAGAAACAAACGTTAAAAGTCAGTCTCGTTGGTTGTAATGATTGTTTATGGTCTATTGTAATGTTGTTGTAATATACGAACTTTTTCTAGTAAATAATACTATATTTACGTTCCCACGTAAAAAGCACGTATTACTTAATTACTGTATGATGTAGTGTAAAACGGTCCCTTGTTTTAATTCACAATATTCACGTTCGCTGACTAGTTTATTCAACGCCCTTACTTATGAAAGTACTAATACACTTGGCTTCATAGTGATATTAGTAGAGTAAATTAAATTGAAATATGAGTTATGAATATATTTCAATAGTTCATTGTAAATATTTCGTATGTTGACTTGTTTTTCCTTGATTGTTTTCGTATAAAATAATGTAATGTGTGAGGGTATGTAAAGATATTAAATGATAATGGTCAGTTCAAATAAGCTTTGGATCTCAGAATTTTTTTCTGTATTTTGTATTAACAAAAATTTAAATATTTATGTCTAACTTAAATATTGATTGATATTAATAATTGTTTAACGATCATTATTATTTTTGTTGTGTTAGCTTCTACAAGCGTTTCTAGTCCATTGGTTACATCTGCACCTATTATGAACAATCGCTCTACATCATCACCAGAGGGCGCTACGCCAGCGACTTCGCAGAATGGACCATCACCAATGGCAGCTCTTATGTCTGTTGCTGACAATCTCACTCCTGGATCACCACGAGGGGCTATACCTACTTCAGAGCTGGTGTCACAGCCTGGTGGAGCGACTAGGCCATCACCTGCTGCACGTCATTCTCCGAATGTAGCTCCTTCTGGTGCTGGAAAGAAAACATCTACTGGAGTTCGTCATAACTCTGGAAATTCCACCTCGGAAGGGGAAAACAACAACACTAGCACAACCTCTACAACTACATCTCCCGATACACACACAGCCGTGGGCCTCAAGTGTACTCTGTGTAACGAGAGGCTGGAGGACACTCATTTTGTCCAGTGTCCATCGGTACAGCATCACAAGTTCTGTTTCCCGTGCTCTCGCGAGAGTATCAAAGGCCAGGGTGCAGCTAATGGAAATGAGGTTTATTGTCCAAGTGGAGAAAAGTGCCCTCTGGTGGGATCCAATGTCCCATGGGCTTTCATGCAAGGAGAAATTGCCACTATTCTAGGTGATGATTTGAATCCAGGAAAAGGTAAGAAAGAGAGAGATACCTAAACAACGAAAGAAAAAAAAAATAGAAAAAAATTGAAGAAAGTAATATACGTGAATGGAACAGTTTCACAGTTGTTCCCTTTGAAACCCACATGTGGAATTCGTGAAAGAAACCACTTCTGCTTTGGTTTTATGGAAGTAGTATTTGTTGGCCAAGCAGTTTTTGGAGCTGAAGAAGCCCAAAAAGAGTTAAGGTAAACGAGTCGAATTCCCTTGGGCTTTTTGGTAGACCTATGATTGGTCTTTTGGAGAAAATTTTAAAAGCGAAATATGAGAAGAGAGAAAATGACTTCAGAAAGAAAGGTTTTCCGTTTAAAGGAATAAAAATGTGTTTGAAAAAGAGACCCACGACGATAGCCCGTCTCCATGTTTTTTTCTGTCCTTGTTACAATTCAATTTAAAGAGGATTATTATGATTTATATCCGATTGCTAATCACATTATCACGTATTGTAGGAACTTTTCCTTATTGTTGTTTGAATGTACGTTTAACGTTTTCGCCTGGAAATTGTTGTTTGAATATCGATTGGTAGATACTTCGCTAATAAGCATAAATACATTCTGGAAAGTTGTATATTTTGTGCCTGTATTGTTGTAATGGTCTTTTGTGTGTGTGAAGTTGTGGTGTCCAGATCTTGAAATGTTATTTGCGGAGTTCTATCACTGAAAATTTCCACTTGTTGCCAAACGTTATATTCTCTTTATTAACATCCCTTTTTTGCGGTAAAAAACAAACAAACTGTATCACAGAATGTAATAGAAATTGGTTTTAACGCGAACGCATTTCTGGTGTGTTTCTACTAGTCATGTCAGTTTCGACCTCGAAGCTAACGTTATTTGATTTTTGTTACAACTATTTAGTTGGTTTTTTTTTCAGCAACTACTCGTATTGGTCATGAATGTAAATAAAGTTAAAGAAAAATAGTTTGGTTTGATAAATGTTTTATTGTCCATTGAAATAACCGATCACGTACGAACTGTTTCGTAAGTATCCGAACCCTTGATATCAAACTAGTAAGAGCGGATTATTAATACATATTATATGTCCCTGAACTAGATGCCAGTTTAATGCTAAAGTTTTTTTTTTTTAAAGTGCAAACAGGTTTTTTTTTTCTTCTATTGTTCGAACATTGAATGCATACAGTACAGCTACAAAGAACTAATATATCGCGTTTACTTCCCTTAAATGTGCCTGTGTGTTTTATGGCCCAGAAAGTCTTTCGCTATGGAACAGATACATCAGCAAACTATACAGTAAATCGTTACAAGTTGATGGTAGAGATAAGTGGAAATCAGCAGTTGCTTTCTGACGACTTAACAGTAGCTGGGGCAGAAGAAACGACTTCGGTCAAGTCGAAAGTCGTCAAAGTGATTTACTGAAAATTCCTTAAGTTTCTCAGCTAATGTTTCAAATGCCTTTACAATTACTAGTTGATTCAGACAAGATACACAGCATAGCTTATTTGATCTACTGACCAACACCTTAGGTTTTCTAAGTAATACTATATGAATTACCGTAATAAAATACATTATTTTTATACATTAGTAAATTAAACTACCCCAAAGGAACTACATTAAGTATGGTAATACTATTTGAACCGTAGTAAACCGCGTAAACTTAGCTATAATTATAACGAACAACATTTACAAACCACTATCTGGAGTACCTGTTCGTTAGACGAGTGAACTAAAAACTCGTTTGTAACAAAGGAGAAGGATTTGTGCTTCTATGTTTTTTCTTAATATAATAAACATTGAAAGTGCAATAAACCCCCCCTCATGTCATCCTGTATCAGTGTGTCAAGTTGTGATGATTTGATAGTTTTTCCGAAGTTAGATGGGAGTCCACCCCCTCTCATGACCTTCCTCATGCCATCCTCTATCACTGTGTCAAGTTTGGTGCTGATTGATCAAGAAATGTGGAAACGTATGAGGAACAAATACACACACATATCTTAATATTTATTTATATAGATGAGGGGTCCTCCCCCTCATGACCTTCCTCATGTCATCCTGTATCAACGTGTTAAGTTTGGTGCTCATTGATCAAGAAATGTGGAAACGTATGAGGAACAGTTACACACACATATTGACGTTTATTTACATAGATTTATCACAGTGTGAGTCACAATAAGTCGGTTAATACTAGTTGAACCGTTGTAAACTTAGGTAACGGTATAACGAACAACATGTAGCGTTTATAAACTATTTACTTCGATGTGAAATGCCTTAAGTATAAATGAACTATATTAAACAATATTAACTATTATATATCACCTAGTGGGATTACATTTTTAGAAAGAACTCGGCAAATTAAATTCTAGGTGCTTTGCATGCTAATTAGAACCATTTTTACTGTTCCAAATGCATTTATATAACTTGTTATACTACACGTGTTGTTTGTTGGCAAGTGCGAATAGTAGTTTCCCGATTTTTAAGCAAAAGTATTTGATGGAAGCATCATTTAAAAACTTGGATATGTGGAAGTTTGTTTGTAATTATGCACAACGGGCTATCTGTGCTCTGCCCACCACGGGTATCTAAAACCGGTTTTTTTTGTTTTAAGGCCCCCGAAATCCCGCTGGGCCCCTGGGGGGGGGGGGGCGATATGTGGAAGT